TTTCACATTCCTTTGGCAAGGAAGCAAAAACCAAATGAATCAGGAACTCATGCTTGAGCCCCAAATCCATTGGCTTCAGCTTGGAAGCCGTGTTGCTCATCTTCAAAATGTGCTCTCTAATACTGCCACCAGTATATTTTTCAGTGAACAATTTCTTGATCAATGTATTAGCATAAGCCTTTGAAGAGCTAGTGAACTGACTCTCCACCTTCTTTAGGTACTCAGTGGCGGTATCACAGTATGGGATAGACCCCCTTATAGCATCTGAGATTGTGGACTTAGCCACCATCAAGCACTTGCGGTTCGAGATGTCCCACTTCTTGCGCTCGAGATCATACTTCATGCACACTTCTGTATGATCTCGCTGCCGAGCAGTGAAATCAGCATCAGACTCATTTTCTTCCCTCACCGGGTCTACTGGCTCAGTAGGACACGTTGAGGTGAGCGCTAAGTCATTCTCGGACAGCGCAAGTACGAGCTCATACTTCTCTTGCCATACTCTGTAATTGCCCCCTTCTAGGGGTGGTATGTGCGAGATGAATGAATGCCATTGGGTTGAGTCCCGAAAAACATTGTTAGAGATAGTGAGAAAATGTATATATCATTATAATTGCATGCCTTAATTTTACGTTGGTCAAAATTAAAACATACAATATTCTTATACACTAATTCTACATCACCGTTGGGCAGAAATAAAATTAATGCATGGAAAACTTATGATTAAACATTATAATATTGCTATTATCAATGTTGGTCAGAAAAATAACAATATTATAATATACTGAATAAAATTGACTACCTTTCAAATTAAATTCTCCCGTTGGTTCGAATTTAATTAGAAAATCATTAACTTTAACATTGCAGCGAAAACATGAAAAATTCATAATTTATTTTTTAGAAGAATTGAACTTTTCTCAACTATTCTTTGAAAATTATCCCATTGGTTCAAATTTCAACAAAGACATTAAACTAGACAAATATCATCAAAAAATTGCTTGTGAAAAGATAAAACTTAAACTCATATGAACACTGTTCATTTGGCCCAAACCAGCTGAAACAGTGAATTCGGGCCCAGCCTGTAGCGAGCAGCCGAGCGAAAGCAAGCGCAAAGATGGCGCCGTCGCCAGTTCCCTCGCCGGCGTGCGCGCTCAATAGCGGGTGAGCACGTCGCCGTCAAGCGGTCTGGGCGGCGGTGCCCTGATCCCCTCTGAAACCCTAGATCTGACCCGGCCACTTTTCCCCCTTCTCTGTCTTAGTCCCGCGATGGCACAGAGTGAGACGGTGACAGCGCCGTCGCCGGCCCTCTCACTAGCGCACGCGCTCCCCAGTGGGTGAGCGCGCCGCCGTCGAGCGGCCTGGCCATGGCGCCCTTGGCCAGAGCACCGCCCGCGCGCCGACGAGGCTGCAGCATGGTGCGGCGGCGAGGTAGGCCCCTTCCTCTTCCCCTTTTCTTCTCTGATTTGATTTTCCTTTCTTTCCTTCTCGGATCTATCCGATTTAGGGTTGGGGATGGGGTTAGGATCGAAATTAGGGTTTGGTTAGGGTTAGGGTTTCGTTCACTGTTCTTCTTCCCTGAGTTTGATTCGCGGGTTAGGGTTCGGCTTCGCGTACCGAGACCCCTTTCTCTTCTCTGTTCTTCACCCGATTAGGGTTAGGGTTCGATGAGCCTCTTCTTTTCTCAGATCCGAACGGATCTAATCTGTTTCTTACCCCTGACATGATCTACATCTAGACAGAGGGTTCCGATAGGCTAGATCTATACCTAGTGAGGCGTCTGATACCATTGTTAAACCTAAAGCAAGATCTCTAGGCTTAGAACTAGCATGTCTACTTGCTATTGAACAAAACCGTGAGTCCTAAAATATCTACTAGTGCAATAATAGTAGATAGAACGAGAGAAAGAGAGGGGTGAAGGGTGCAAACCATCGACTGCCTTGCAGGAAGATGGGTTCGCCATCGCAATACTTGGTGATAACCCGGTGGCAGTGCAGTAGCGGTGTCGTTCGGGGTCGGTGTAGACGCCGCAGGGCAGCCCGGCGTCGTAGCAGTCCTCCGGCGTGATGCAGAGGCAGTGGCGGCGCTTCCCGTTGCTGGCAGTGCCCCCTCTGTGATCGGTTAGGGTTTACGACTGTAGGTGGGGTGCGAGGCGGCTCAGGCGGACCTCGTGACTCGAGCGCCCCGGCTCCCACCTCCTATTTATGGCGCTGTGCAACGAGGGCCCACCAACCATATTAGCGTTGGGCATCCCCGATCAAAACGCGGATCAAGAACACAATAGACCATTGGTGGAGTTCAACTAACGGAACACAGCCTTGCACACGGTAGCGCATTTCTTGGCATTCGAGGTTAGCTTCGTGAGTCAAAGGTCAGCAGCTAATAATCACATAAACGATAAAAGATGCTTGGCTTCGGGCCGTCACTGTCATCTTTCGCCGCGTCACCTGCCCGAAGCCGAAGTGTTTTTCCCAAGGTTGAAAGCTTCGCAAGACTGTGCTAGAAGGGCCGATTCGATCGATGCTCGAGGCTGACCTTTTTTTTTTTTTTGCGATCCCCAACAATGTGCGCGGGCCCAACAGGGTACACCTGCCTTATCACTTTACCTCTTCCGTTGTTTCCTCTTTCCTTTCTCTCAATCTCTTTCTTTCTCTCTTTTCTCTTCAATCCGGCGTATGTGCAGGCTCCCGGCGGCGCCCCGGCGAGACCCAGGTAGCGCGGTGCCCGCCGGTGCCGGCCTGCGGGAGCGACAACTCTCGGGGCGAGCTCCACGTGCTGATAGGAGTGGCAGCCCGGCGACGAGGTCCACGGGCGGCGGGCAGACCGGCGGCGTGTGGGAGGCGGGCGGGCCGAGCCAGGTCCAGCCCAGCGGTCCCCGCGTAGGAGCGGCTGCCCGTGGCGAGCCGCTGCGGGCTGCCGCGGCGCTGCGTCCGAAGCGCGATAGCGGCCGCCGGCGAGCGCCGCACCACTAGGGAGCGGCGGCAGGAGTTCTTGTGCAGAAGTTTCGATAACTTTGGAACTGATTTACTCGCATCAAAAATGAAAAGAAAAAATAGAAAATGTAAATGGATTTGTACCAGCGGGACTAATGACAGTATGACACCCGCCAGCGCAGACGATGTCCACAGATCACGAAAAATTTATTAGCGTCAGGCGCGCGGGTTCGTGAACAGAAATTTCATGCGCCGCGCATCTTTTTTAACAAGCCTTTGGGCGTCTGCTGTCTGCATCCTCTCCTCTCCTCCTATCTCTCTTGCTTCTCTCGGTTCTGCTTCTCTCATCTCTCTAACTCTTGTGCCTCCCATTTGCAGGCAACGGAGAACGCGGGGCAGCAGTTGGGCGGGGCGCAGGCGGCTAGCGGGCTGGTGCGGCGGAGGCCTTGCGTGCCCGCTCACGGCACGCTCGGCTATGGCGGCGGCGTTCGGCCACGGCACGACGGGTGCAACGGACTGTTGCCGGCGCGAGCTACGGTCTCAGCATTGCAGTTGGTGGATCTCTGTAGGTGGCTATAGGAGATGGCGGAGCAGTGGCTCGCGGCGCGGGAGACAACGAGGGCCAGCGCCAGCGGAGGTGCGGCTGGCGAGCAGCGGCCAGCTGGGGGAGAAGCAGCTGTAGTTGTAGGGGGCGTAAAGCAGCGGCCGGCCGACTGAGTAGCGGCAGTCGCACGGTCGGCGCGGGCGGAGGAGCGACGGTCATCCCGGGCGACAGCGAGCAGCGGCCGGCCGGTAGAGGAGCGGCTGGAGCGGAGGGGCCCGCGCGAGGACGGGCGGCCAGGGCCAGCGCGGCTGCCCAGCGGGGATAGCCTCCGGCGGCCTTGCAGGCGGCGGGCCTGCCACAAACTTTTCTTTACATGGGCCCTACAGCTGGCTGTAGGCTACCGTGCACGCTTTTTCTTTTACGCCGGAAAATCGTCAGTGCTGCAAGGACCCGTCAAAATAAATTCCGTATCTCCCTGCTGGCGATCAGGATCATTGGACATCTGGTATTACATGCTTTACTCTTCCAAACATTAGAGAAGATTCTGGGGACCCGAAAGGGTAGTAAATTAAAAAATAAGAAATTATCAGTCGAGGAAGTCCAGAAAAAAACTGGACGGAGTATGCATGTAACAATAAAAATAATTCAAGAGCTCTATATAGAAAACAAAGTGAATACTGCGCAGACGGCATAAATCGGTTGTTTAGAAACTAAGCGGAGTATGTGAACTATAAATCGGTTGTTTAGAAACAAACCTAGAATGCTGCGCAGAAAAAAATACTGTCACAACAAATCAAAGTACAAAATACAAGGTCCAACACTGGGACCAGCAACGTGTGTGGAGAGGAGCGAGTTCGCGTAGCGTTGTAGTAGTAGTACTACTACTGTTGCATTTCGTTTCTTATTTCAGTAGTCCACCAAATGATCATTAAGGCATGTTGTACGTGCTTGTATGAACAGTACATGCTTGCAATGTCGTCGTACCTGCTGGTGCGCGATGGCGATGTCGGCTCCGTATAACTTGACGACCTTGTTTCTTTTAGATTTTCCAAAAGATTATATTTCAATGACCAGCCACTAGATCTGACTATATATACGTAATATATGTGACTACAAAAGATTATCCAAAACAGGCAAAACGGAGTCTAGAAAAATTGCAAGCACCAACAGATCATCAAAGCCACAAAAAGGGTTTAATTCTCTATTGTTGTCCTTGGTCAGTTCACCTGCAGTTGAAATAAAAACTTGCGTTTTATAAAGCATACGTAGTTTATATTCAATGATTCTCCGATCCCTAAAAAGTAGCATCACAACAGATTGTCACTATCTCGTACTGTTGATGTTTTATGGTAGAAAAGTGGAAAGAATCGCGGGGAATCTGCATCTGCCGCGAGGAAGTCAAATGCTGACATCCATTGACGACCATTCAACTGCTGTTGCACTCCAGGAGGCCGAGAGGAAATCCTGGACGCTATAAATCCCGTCACCTTGTCTCTCACGCCGGCTCCATCAGCAGTTCCTCATCGGTCATGGCCGCCGCTGCCGCCGCCAAAGAATGCTCCGATGGGCTCTCCGCCACTTCCTCGTCCTCCACCATGGCAGGAATGGTGTGGCAGAACACGTGGGATCAGCAGCAGCAGCAGCCGCCGGACGCGGGCGCCTCGCCGTCGCCGGGAGAGACAGAGAAGCGTGAGGGCTTCATCGGCGTGCGGCCGCGGCCGTGGGGCACGTTCGCCGCCGAGATCCGCGACTCCACGCGGCGTGGCGCCCGCGTGTGGCTGGGCACCTTCGACACCCCTGAGGCCGCCGCGCTCGCCTACGACCAGGCCGCCTTCTCCGCGCGTGGCGCCGCCGCAGTCCTCAACTTCCCCGTCGACCGCGTGCGGGAGTCGCTGGCGCCGCTCGCGCTCGACGCCGGCGCAGGGGGTGGCTCCCCTGTCCTCGCGCTCAAGCGGCGGCACTCCAGGCGCACGCGCAGGCTGCGTAAAAGACTCTGCTCTAAGCGCATGGCCGACGGCAAGGATCTCCAACCGACGTGCCAGTGCTCCGACGTGTTGGCCACGGCCACGGCGGTGCCGCAGCAGCAGGTGACGGCGGCGCGCTGCCAGGTAAGCTTCGGCGTCCTGGAGCTCGAGGACCTCGGCGCTGATTACTTGGACGAGCTCCTCCGGATATCATGCGAGTTGGCAGCCTGAAGTCATGCCTGTATCGACATCGTCGACGTTGGTTCACCACGAAGATCAATACAAATTCTGATTCTTCTTTTCCATGGAACATGAAAATGAGGTAGGATACGAAGTCGATCTTGAAAAATACTACCCTGTTGAAAGATGTGTTTGTACTCAATATGGTTCGGTTGTGATCTTAGGTTTCGGATTGTGTTTGCTTAGAGATAGTTGTGTACGAATGTAATTCAAGTATACGAAGCAAACGAGTCCTAGATGATCATAACTGTACCGATGTAAATCTCTTGTGCTTTTTCACCATATATAAACACGCAACCGTGGCCAGTCAAGATAGGCAACCACGTTTCCTCCTTTTCTTTCATGCACATCTCTGCAGAGCGGTATGCGTGGAGCCTACAAAATAAAATGGCACGGACCAACCATGCTGTAAACTAGATCGCCATCTATATATGCACCTGATAAGGAAAAAAAGCCTTTGCCACAAGTGGTAATTGTTGTGATGCAACATTAACCAAGTCACCTATTAAGCTAGCTTTTTTGTAAAAAAAGTACATAATTAATCGTCATGTTTTCTGACTCGGCCCGGGCCTCCCACCCAGCTCTTGGATTGCACTTGGACAAGCTGGGCCTCCTTTCCCTCTTGCTGCTTCTCGTGGTAGTCTTGTCTTGGGCAGGATCGTTTTGAGCAGTAGCCGGATATGACGTACATGAAACATTCTTCCATGAAAACCCCACAGGAACCCAATGGCTCCTCTCTCGGCTCCTCTCTCTCTCCCCGGACGTTTCCCCGCCATGGCCCCTAGTGATCTGAGAGCCTGCCCTCTCGTGGATCCCCATGGATTTCTCTCAGGACCTCTCCTTCTCAGCTAAGGTACGATCCCTTTTTGGTTCTTCGGTGATTTCGCAGTCAGACAGCTTCGGGCTCCTCACTTGGTTCAGTCCATCCAAATTCCAATGCGGATTCTGTGGGCATTCTTTTGCAATCTGTCTTGGGTGCTCTTTTCGTAGTTGTTGAGGTGGAAGATTTTGTCTTAAGTTTACAGTCTGCTCAAAGTCTGTTGGTCTGGCAGTTTATGATCTCAAGACTTTTGCCTGTGAGTCTCAGAGTTTTCTTTTCACCTTTGGAATGAACGAGGTTTATCCCAGCATTCTCTGCCTGTGAAAAGAAAGTCTCTAAGAGTTTTCTTTTCACCAGCGAGGTTTTCTTTTCAGAGTCGACCGGTCACTGAATTGTGGACCTAACTTCGCTGGGGCCCCTTTGTTCAAGACTTTGGATGACTATCAACGGGTCTGCCCAGCCAAGACGGCTGCTGCCTGGTTTCGTACCAATCAGTCTCAGCCTGTGGACCCAAGCTCGAGTGGGCTGCCTATGTTTTAAGGTCCTGTTTGGTAGGGCTTCATTTCACTAGTGAAGTCATTTTTTTTTTGCTTTAGCTCCACAAACAGTTCCACTGGTAGAGGTGAAACGGTTTTGTTAAACCGTTTGGTAAAATGGCTTCTCTGTAAAAACATGTTTTTAGGGGCCTAGAGGAGGAGCCGGGAGAAGTCAATTTTTTTGGCTCCATCCCATCTTAAATCGTGAGAGCATGTTTTTAGGGGCTTCACCGGTAAAGCTATTTTACTTTACCCCGTTTGACAGAAAACGACTTCAAACGGCTACTGAAGCTGATGGAGAAGCCCTGCCATACGGGGTAAAGAAATCGCACCTGACGCTTCATCTTCTCCACCGACCAACCGTACTTTCCTTGCTACAGAAAAAACCCCCAACTCTACTCGCGCTTGGCTCCTCGCCGTCAACGCCTCCGCCGTCGCCGTCGACCTCAATGGCCTTCCAGCGTGCAGACCCACCTCCGTTCACCCCCAAGGGTAATGCATTGGCTTCCTGTGGAGAATCGCGTCTCCTCCGCCCGTGCAGTCGTCGTCAAGCCGCCCGTGCGCGCAATGAAGATGTCGCCATCGTCACCTTCGACCCTCTGCCGGGTAATCTTATCGTCTTCAACCTATAATCAGAGAATACCTAGTGGATATCAGGACATTGCGACTGATTGACATTCAGCCGTGTCACTTGGGTCAGGCTTATGCGCGTTTTGCTCATGTTCATGACTGCGACGGTATGATTCACTCTAGTCCCCATGTGTACGATTACATCACCCTCTCGTTCGTTAAGCGTAATCGTGGCCGAAATTGGAAAGCCCTTCAGTTTAACTGAGAATGTACCTTGATGTTGATGGGTTTCCCATTGGATTTCTGGGAACATGAATATTTTGGAAGGGTGCTGAACTTGGAACAGGATGACAAGAAGTTAGCTAGGATCATTGTTCGGGCTAGAGTTATTTATTTGGTAAAGGTCCCGCAATGGATTGTTTTGTCTGAGGGTGAAGGCTTTGAGGGAGAATCTTGAACCATTCAGTGTGAGATTCTGCAGCAGAACCCTCTTGGTGGGCTCCCAGCTGACGAGGACGAGCCGACCCTCATGCTCCTTTCGATTTCTTTGGACATGGGCAGCAGGGGCCTGGCCCAGCTCCATTCCAGTCAGTTGAGGATCAGTCTAATCCAGCAGCTAATGCTAATGAAAGGTTGGGCCCCAAGGCCAGATCAAGTGCAGCAGGAACAACAGGCCCATCAGGGTAATGCTGGTTTTAATCTTAATGATCCTCCTGCAGAAGATGTCAACATGATGTTGTGTGATATCCATTGGCACTTCCATTCCCAAAAGCAAGGTCTTTTGCTTTGAAAACTACTGGATGCAATATGAGGAATTCCTCCAGGTAGTGCAGCATGGTTGGTCTATTCCAACAAATCAAACAGACAAAAGCCAAAGCCTTGACAGCCAAATTCAAAAATCTCAGAAGAGTTCTAAAAGCATGGCAGCAGCAGATTTCCAGCCTGGCCAATAGAATTAAAAACACAAAGCTCATTATGCCTTTAATGGAAATTCTTGAGGAGTTCAGGGACCTATCTATTGCAGAATGGAATTTCAAGAACATTTTGGGAGAAACTCTGGAAGCCCTGCTGCATCAGCAAAGAATTTACCGGAGACAGAGAGGGACTATAAAATGGGTCTGTTGTGGAGATGAAGGGACAAAATTCTTTTATGCAAATGTTACTGTTCAACATAGAAGGAATCTTATCACCTCTTTGGTGGACACCAATGGAACAGCATGGCAGCTTATAAACAAAGGTTGGGCACCTCTGAACCATTCAATGTGCAGTTTGATCTAGAGCAGCTATTTCAAAGAGCGACAAACCTTGGATGCCTTGAGGATCCTTTTTCCAAGGAGGAGATTGATGAAGTGGTCACAAAAAAAGGATTAGGATAAAAATCAAACTGCCAGTGTTCAAATGAAGTCTTGTAAGCAATCGAGAATAGGGGGACTAGGTTCAGTCCCTATAGATTGGAAGGATAGTTTCCAATCCAATGGAATGAGTCAAAATGTTCTTAAAGGATATGGGGTAATATTGTAGAACAATAACTCGAAGACCATTTGTTTTTTCTTTGAAACAAATATGTACCCACTATCTGCTTGTTTGCTTGTATTATCCTCTGAACCCCTTTCTTGTATTTCTTCTTGTTCATCTGAGGATTTTGATGACACAGTAATCCTAATGGAACTAACCATACAGTACTCATCAAAATCTGTTCAAACACATAAGGGTGGAATAAAAATATTGAAAATAATCTACCTGCTTTTAGCTTCTTTACTTGTATCTTGCCTTGAGGCCTTTTTCCCCATGCCATATTGTTCATCTGAGCCTCCTTTTCTGATTACATCTGGAATTGGATTGAGATTTTCTGTTGCCTCGTATTGTTCCTTTTGAGCCTCTGTACTCATTTCTCTTTCACCATAAAAAATACAATTAACCCATTGTATGTTTACCCTACGAGAGCTAAAGGTGTTCTCTTGAAACCATCAGCTCTAATGCTTCCAATTTTGCAGAGATCTCTTCGAGGCCTGCCAAGTGCTCAAAGCCTGAATCTAACGGGTTGTATTGCACCATTGTGTTAGCATCGAATCCAAACTTGAGCCTTCGGACATTGGGCATTGCTCCTTTCACAAAGGCCATGCAAAGTGCCGGACAGAAAAACTTGAAGTGTTTGAGAACTGAGAATCCCTCCTTTTCAAAGACTATCTTTTGACCTGGGGTGGTCCGGACATACAGTGAAAGAACACCAAGTTCAGGCAGTCCTTCAAGGAGGATATCAACATCATCACTAGACAGGACCATAACTTGAATCTTTAAAATGACAAGTATGCGGAGTTTTCCAATCCACCGGGAAGGATGGAAAAGATGCAAATCCTCGGCAACTCAAGTTTCTGAAGAAGGGTTGGAGGCGAGGACAAGCTGCCCAAGTCATCAATGGGAATGTTACTGCTTAAAGCACTGACCTCCAGAGTATTTGCATTAGAGAAACTTGCAGGTAACATAGTAAGAGACTTGAGATTGTGGAGTTTCGAGAGAATTGATCCCAGGCACTGCAACTTCTTATCAAGATTGTCAGAAGGCATTGTAGAACAGGTGACCTTTGCTGCCTTCTTTAGGGTCTCTAAATTGTCTAACCCTCATACATACGGTCCTTTGCTGCCTTCTTTAGGGTCTCGAAATTGTCTAACCCTTTAGCAATGGCATGCAAAACTTCCGGTTCAATGTGGCGCAACATGTCCTACATATCAGCATCATATTCCTCGTCCACCTATGGTTGCACACGCACATCTGTTTGATCACCATTTTGATCTCCACGGTCGTAATCATCATCCATCATAACATGATCATTGTCGTGTGCATCATCACCACCCACTTCATCACAGCCAGTATTGATGTATGTGTTGTTGGAAGTAGCTCCTGCCTCTCCATGGTGGGACCAAATTGTGTAGTCATGCACAAAACCTCGCTGTATCAAATGCCTCTTGATGACATTAGTATCCTCCCATACAATTTTGTTGCTACAGTCACAACACGGACAACGTATTTGCTTTGTCTTGCAAATGCGAGTGTGCCTCTTCGCAGCC